TTGGAGATGAGTACGAGGTGACCGCTTCGTCGCAAACGAACGTTCAAATTATATACTCAATTTGAGTTATTTTCAATTATTCCTACAGGTCGCTATTGCTCCTACTCAATATGTCGTTAATTTGACTAAAACAATGTTAATTTAACTAAATGGAGTTAAAATAATACTGTTTTATGTTAAAATAATAAATTTCGACACACATGGTAGTTAAAAATAACAAAATGTCAAGGTTTAAATTTCATCCTTTAATATTTAACAGTGTACTCAAAGGCGCAATTATATCTTCAAAGATAATCGTGCGTATTTTTTCTTCTCACCGACGTCTCTCACACTTCAGGATTCGAGATAAACGCGAGGTGACCACATCGTCGGTACGCAAGAATATCTCAATTAAATCATTATTCTCGAGTGAATCCGTTTACGGCGCGATGCGAGAGACGTTGAAAATATCCGAGTGTCACGTTTGCCGTTTTGCAAACATTTATACGCGGATGATCGTGCGTCATATGCGTGTCGGGAAATCGTTTTACTTCGATGACTAATATATTTACGACGACGAGCGTAATTTTCCTGTGAATCGCTCGCTCCTCGAGCCGCGCGATTATCCGAAGGTGCAAACGAACGTCTCTTCTGCAACGTTCAAGACCGGTTACCAAATTTAAACGTCGATTGACGCAATTCTCTTGACCAAGTGAAACGCGTAAAGTCAATTGATCGAGTGGCCAGGTGCATTTAATAGGAGTAACTTTCGGTTCGAATTCTTACGAAATCGTCATGCAATCATCGCTGGATACATCCAGTCGCTCGTCTCTTTTTTGTCTCTTTTCTTTTTGCGTTTTCACCGCGTCGACCAGGCATACGCGAGATTAATGATTCGTATATACGCGAGGGAATTTGTCGAAAGGCATCGGGAATTTATTCGAGATGTCCCTCGAACAAGAGATATGTTGCTCCGACTCGTTCGAGAAGAACCCCGTGTGCGTTTACGTCAGCGCGGTTCCAGCGGTCGCGTCGGCTCCTGTTTTTTTCCCCCAGCCGATGGAAAGCGACGACGTGATCGCGTTTTTCCCGAGGAGAGGAGAGGAGAAAAATCCGTCGAGCGTGCATCCCACTGTACGCGCGAGGTGCATCGGCACGAATCTCATATCGCGGATCAAAACCGCGCTCGCGGCGCGGGCAAAAGTAAAAGGGGAACCCGCCTATACCGTGTGCTGCTCCCGCTCTGTTCACCGACACCGACGCCGACACGGTCTCGATAATTATAGCGCGAAAGAAGGAAAATGGGGAAAGCGGCTCCAGAAGTCTTATAGCACGCGGAGCGGAGTTTCGATGCGGCACTAAAAGCATGATTAAATGATCGGCGCGGGGGTCGTTAAGTGAATAGGAAGCTCCGCTCGAGCGGAGTGAGTTATCGCGCACATCGCATCGCACGCCGCGCGCGCTTCTTCCGTTTTCGCGCTAATGGAACATGCCCGTCGCGGGAATGGGAAACGCTATTCGGAATTTAATGGGCTCTCTCGCAATATCTCCGGAAAGAACGCAAATCGAGAATTCAAAGATATCTGTCGGGCGGACGAATGATGGTTTCATCTAAGAGAGCGTAATTGGCGTGGATTATAACTCGCCTTCCTGCTCGCGCGACCGTAACATTCGAGATTTAAATTATACTTTTAAAACGCGCGCGGATGAGACTGGCTCAGCGGTGAAAAAAAAGGTAAAATTCATTTCCCAAGAGATGAAAATCACTTATCTTTCTCTCCCGTTCTTCTTCTTTGATTATACTCGGTGATTTTTATTTTGAAGTAATCATTAAATAAAATAATACTCTCCTCTTTCATTTATTAAGACTCGAAACTTAAGTTTTATGAGTGTCCACTGTATATTATTTTAAATTTTTAATCAAATTCCAATTACGGACGACTCGTCACTTCACGCGCTGAGATACACAAAGCTTTGAAAATCTATAAAGCCATTACAAGCTAACGAAATCTTAGATAAAACGTGGCACTTTGACCCTGTCTGTCGGAAATTGACCAATCAAGTGAAGAAGAGACGAATGTATAGCTTATGTGTGGGGGCTTATTGAAAGTCGTTAATCAGTTCCTTGACGCGTCGCATTTACCCTTTTACCGAAGATAAATACATGAATAATCGTGCGTGATTACGCGAGTCAGATCGTACACGGGGAGTTCGCAATAAATGAGCCATTGTGCTCGCACAATTTGGCCGATAGCGGCCGAGAGAAGTTGCTAAGTGGAAGTGTCTGTCGCAAATGAGCTCTTTAAGCGAGTTAAGCAATATACCATGTCGCGTATTTTCATTTCTATTGATCCTGAATCGCCGTGGACGAGGTAATCGGTAAAATAATTCGCTGTTACACGCTTTATATCGCGAACGTGTTATATTCGACACGCCACTCGCCTGCGATAAATGATCGGCGAGTCGTTGATCTTGCGGAGAAAATATTGTAGCGTAAGTTACATAAAAAGTATAATCTGTTTTACATTTTTCGCAAAGCTGGAATGTAATGACGTAACCATCTGTTACTGCGAGGAGTGGCAATCAATTAATCGTCTATTTCGCATTAGTTAAAAATTATAATTTATATTACGAAAGATTATGCAGACTCTTCACACCAGACCGAGTAGAAACTTGTATATTATAAAAACGCCTATGCTGTAATCAGCCAATCTCTCGTTGCTATCTAAAAATTACTATATCGGTATTTTCATTAAATAACAAAATGTACAATTTAAATTGTAAAATCCATTCTCGAACTTGGTTTTCTCTGAATTGCATTAAAGTGTATCGAATAATCGCAATTCTTTTACAAAATATAAAACGCAAGTGAAATTTTTAAATGAAGATATAATTATCCCGTCGAATGTAAATGCCCGCGATATGTCTCGGGATACAGCAAAATCTTTATATCGTAACTTTCGCTACAATTCCCCTCGTTAACATTACAGTCACGATCACGCCCGTATTTTCACTTTTAACAGGGCACGATTTTCGCTATCGCCTGCTCGTCGATCGCGCTGACGCTCGCGAAACCGGCGCCGGAGCCGCCGGTGAGCTCGTACTTTCCGTCCTCCGGAGGGGGTGGCGGCGGCGGCGGCGGCGGTGGAGGATACGGACCGCCCGCGGCGGCTTACGGGCCGCCGCAACAGAACCCGGTGATCCACAAGCACGTGTACGTCCACGTGCCGCCGCCGGAAGCGCCGGAGTATAGGCCGCCCAAGAACATACCGCAGCCGCAGCCGCCGCAGAAGCACTACAAAATAGTGTTCATCAAGGCGCCGACCCCGCCTACGCCGACCGCGCCGCAGCTGCCGCCGCTACCGCAGCCGGACGAGGAGAAGACGTTGATCTACGTCCTGGTGAAGAAGCCGGAAGAGGCGCCCGATGTCGTGCTGCCGACGCAGACACCGACGCAGCCCAGCAAACCGGAGGTCTACTTCATCCGCTACAAAACTCAGGTAACGGATCTTTCTCACCAAACATATGTGACTTTGCTTCGCCAATAAATAATTGACAAATTGTGATTCTTTATTCCAAAATTGACTATCTTGTATTTAATATAACTGTCACAACTATATTAAATAAAGATAGTCAGTTTGGTCGAATAAAAAATCATTGTTGATCTGTCTTTCTCTCTATAAAACTTAAGTAACGATTTTTCTTTCCAAATATGACACTGCTCCGCCAGTAAATAACTAACAATGATTTTTTTGTTCGATCAAACTGGCAATCTTTATTTAATATAGTTGTGACACGACTATATTAAATAAAGATAGCCAGTTTGGTCGAATAAAAATCATTATTGATCTTTCTTCCTCTTTCTTTTTTTACGCTTCGGCGATGTAATTCACGCAGTTCTCTTTTTTTCAACGCAATCGCTTGGACGCGCGCAAACTACGAACCTCGGCAAGGATAACGCACGACGTCCCTATCGTCGGATCTAAATGCAATGCGTTGCGCAATTTTTCAGTTGCTCAAACGCGCGTATATATATCTACAGCTGGCAGCCGCTTTCAAAGCGGTCTATCGAGAAACGATTTCGGCGAATGTCGAAAGACGAAAGTGTGACGTCTCGCGCAGCATATAAATTGCTCATTTCGATGATATAGGAGCGAGCGGCGCGGCGCATGTTTTTGCATAGGATACGAAAGGATCCGGATATTAAGCGTAGATGATATTCGCACGTCATATATTTCACTTCATCAGACGAGTATACGACCTTACTATTAGTCGGACGCGAATCACCTTTCCACGGCTCGACTATATAAAAAAAAAAAAAAAAGAAGAAGAAATTGTCAAGGTGATTGCCGTGCCGACAATTTGAATAATTACAGAGAGTTTCTCCTCGAATGTCGCTTCGTAATGCCGCTCTAAGCGAGCTTGTCGAGATTTCTACTACAATGTGTCGCAGATTGCACAGGGATTAATTGTATTGTAGTACAACTCTAATATCGCTATAACTCTTCGTTACAAAAGATATCTTTCGCTATACACGTCGCACTCCGCTTAGCGCGCTACAAGTATCGAGAGCCTCGGTCCGCTTGTCGATCAAGGGATGTTCTTCCGCGTGGCGTACAATTAAACCGCTGAAAAAAATCCCTCCAGCCTGAGCTACTTTCCTTGAAATTGCTTGCCTTGCTAGCCAAAATACTAGATATATCGGCGAGAATTAAATTATGCGAATACGAAGACTAACTACCGAACTCTGCTAAATTGCCATCACAGAAAAGATCACGGCCGAGTGATAGCCACAATATAAAATTCATGTATGCGCCACGTGTCGTCTCTCTCTCTCTTTCTTGTCTCTTATGTATTTATTTTTATGCAATTGCAGAAGGAGCAAGGCGGCGGCGAATACGGCCCGCCGGGGCAACAACCGGGGCAACCCATCGACAGTTACGGGGCACCGCAACCGGGCCCCAGCGGACCGTACTAGAATCGGTCGTCGCATGGAGCGCACATCACTCTCACCCTCGAGACCCTCGGCATTTCACGGAGACAAATATTTTACGTGGTGACTACTCTCGGTCGTTTCGCAACGCGACGCGACGCGAACGCGGGCCCGGATGGATCTTAATAATCGTAGGAGGGATGTATATATATCGCCAGTATCTCATAAGATAGGCCGCATGGTGTTTGAAGGTGCTTAAGAGGCAGACGCTTCGTGTTGCTAAAGCCTAATCGTGATGTCGCTCGCACACACACACGCACACTCACACATGCATAGATACACACATACACACACACACGCATACGTAACAATAAGTCCTTGAACGACTAAGTGCCGACGTTTGTCGCGGTCCTCTGTTGAAAGAAATGTAAAGAAAAAAATAATTTTTATATACGAGACGTCGATGTTTCTTTTGTATCTTTTAAGAAAATAATCGTAAATACACTGTTTTTATATCAAATAACTTCCGATATTATTAATCACTTCACCGCCTTTCTCTTCGCTAGTCTTATTCCTCGTTTCGCAGATTCTTACAATCCGTTTCTCTCTCTCTCCCTCTTTCACTTTCGAGCTTCTTGTTCAATCTTTCACTACTGACGTGACACGAAATCGAAATTGTTGAAATCTAGATCGCAAGCACACTTGCAAGTGCAATCCTTATCATTATCCTTGAAACAACGTTTTAGAGAGTCCTGAACTGTACTCGAGAATATACCTATTGCCCAAACGTGTTGCCCTATCTGTCGACTAAATTTGCGATTATATTATAACGGTAACGATTCCCACGAAGACGTTTGGAACGTATGATTCCAAGATAAGGTATTCGCAAGTATTTAATAGCGCATTTGCCGAGCGTGTTCGCATTGGTATTAAGTACGAAACAAACGACCAGCGTAAATCTTAATTCTCAAATTAATTTAAGAGTTAAAATTCCACCATTCGCGACTTATCAACTACGTATAAGGGTCTCACGTCAGAAAAGTCACGTTGGACCGTCCTGTTAGTTTCAACTCTATAATAAATACTATCGGCAAATGTACGCAATATAACTCCTGACTGCGCTACGCTTGTACACTCCTATTTGTTCCAGTATCTAAAAATTTGTAAACCTGTATGCGACTACATCAAAGACTCCAGAGACTGGGCGTACTTGCAATCGATAAATCAAGGTCGTTAAGCGAAGGATTACATTTTTTTCGTCGATCTAACTTTATCGCACGTGAATGCGATAAGAGTGTCAAAATCGCAAAGTATATCAGTTTCTGAACACTTGGTTTATATATCGAACTGGTAACCACTAATATCTCTTAATTTCGATGAGCTGTGTGTTCGAAGGGCTGTGTGCATAATAAGAGCCGCGTTCTATTACACGAATAGATAGGTACATCGTTGTTAAGACTTTTACCTACAAAAATAACTGCAAACGTATAAGATTGAAAATCGCTTCTCGCGTCGCTTTATACCGTATATTGACACTAATAGAGCGTGCATATAAACGATAGAAGGTACACACTCGACTAGAATCACGGTCAATCTGTTATCGTCGTATTTACATCTAGAGAGGTATGGCAAACGCGTTTAATCGCATTAGATCGGTAAAAATGTAGCACTACGATAAAATATATATATTTCAACTTCAATCGTGCACGATATCGCGTATACCTGACTATGTTCTTTTAACTATTTTTGCACTTACAAAAACCGCGGTATTATTCTCTAGGTGTTCTCTGCAACGCAATTTCCCTGAAATTATTTTAGCGAGTGGACGTCCTTATTGCGTTACCTAAATGCACAATTGCCTCTTCCTTCGAGTCTTTTTTGAGATATTGTGACACTTGACTATCTTACGCGGCCGCTACACTATTATATTCGTAACAATCCTTATCGCTAAAAGGGCATAACGCATTTAAACAGATTTTATTACAAATGGAATACATGTAAATAAAACTTTCCAATCGAACACGCTACATATACAAAAATACGATTGAAGACGCAAGAACGTACTGTTGTAGGAAAATACTGAAGTATCTAGAAACTATTTGCTGGAATCGCTTGAATTTTTGTGTCGTAAAGTTTGATCGTAGAAACGTCCAAATACAGGCACACAAAATTCTCGACCAGCGAAATTTTCTCTAAATGGTGCGTCGATTTACAAATTAAAATGTTCTTAGCAGTAATATCCGTGCATATATTCCATCTACCACCGTCATTTCGTTTCAGCGATAGATTCTGCAAGGGAGAATTTTTCACTCATGAAACTCGATCGTCGACCGTATATTCAAGCCATGAAAATTCAGCATTATGAAAGGATTCACAGCCGTTACGAAACGCGATAGTAATGGTAATACGCTTTATTATTTCCCGTATCTTCCGTATTGGATATGCGCTATCACATTTCTCTCTGAAGACTAAGTGACTGTAAGTAAACGTAACTGTATACCAGCGTCCCTTACACCACAGCTATACGTCTTCTCGAATATCGATTCGCAACGAACAACGGTGCGAAAGAAAAAAAAACCAAGTACAGGGGCAATGCCTCAACGATGTCGAGGGAGAAGAAAAGAGAGATTGTGCTATATTATTCTTGGTGCGATCGCTGACGTTCATGTCTTTGACCAATCAATCGTTTAATGTACGGCGCGAGGAACGGGTAGGAGAGGAAGAACACGTGTCCGCAATAATACAAACTAGCGTAAACTTGATTATACCGCGGATACGAGAGAAGTACGAACGACACGAGGACGTATCCCATGAAAACAAAAGTGTAAAGCTTCATAAAGATCCAAGCGAGCATACGTGCTTCCCATCGCGTCTTCAGGAGCGTTTGCACTTTCTCGCTGTTCTGTAATACTGGTCCAATCTGAGAAAAAAAGAGAAAGCGAGCGGGACATGATTAAACAAGCAAGCAACTGTCAAATGTCAAAAAACATGCGAAAGCTCTCTGTTCGTGCGAGCCGTAATTGTATATACTTACGTCTCGTTCAAAGTACAACACGATAAATTCCATAAAGAAACTGTGATAGTATCCAGAGTGAAAACCGTGCCAGAGGGCAAGGAAAAGCAGCGTTATTACTTGACTGTATATTTTTGAACCCAGAAACTTCAGCCTCTTGTAAATGTACTCGGCACACCAGTGATTGGTGTTTATGTTGAACGAGAGAATGTAGTGATTGAACTGCGTGCTAGTTTCGAATGTTCGCAGTTTAACGTTCGCGCAACCGTCCCATTTAATACGACCTTTAGAGTCTTTTCCATTATGTGTGAGACCAAAAGTGATGCACACCTGAAATCGAAACATTAAACGATAACAACACAACAAGCACATACAAATAAAAATAAACAACGTTAAAAAAATATGTTTCAATTACGTACCCCTTCTGTGATTAGCCAGACGCTGACGTATTTGTATAGATTGATACGGCCCCACAAGCCGATCAGCAAGCACTTCTTTATTAAATTCAGCTTCTGGAACGATGGTTCAAAGAGATACTGATCGGAAACGTAGAGTGTGCCGATTTGGAATATCGCTACATATATGAATCCGATGAAAGCTCGTAACAATCCCGCTGACACGCAATCCGGCAGCTTAATGGCACCAGTTCGAGGATCCTATAAAATATAAAAACATGATACTTATATTAAATGGACAGTCGTATTTTCTTAAACTGGAGAACTAAATGATTCGTCGATTAGTATCTTTCTAATTCATTCATCAACGTACGCGTTCTGTGAGATGACCGTTGACATAGTCCAAGTACCGTCGCATATTGAACTGTGGTCCGATGAGGAAGGCGCCTGGAAAATAAGCGTACGCCGCAATTTCCAACAGCGACGGTCGCTCCTTCAATGCCACGCGTTTTTGACTATCGGAGAGCTCCTCCTACAACACCGTGATCGTTACGCCGCGAAATGAACGAGATAATAGAATTATGGAAAAAAATTGCGTTTCGTACGTCACGTTTTTGACCGTCCCATAAATTAAATGCAAGTCCTATTAACCTAAGGGTCAGCACGCACTGCGGCATTGTCCATTTTATATCGTAATCTTGGGTACTGGTGGTGTAATAGCCTGTATTGGAAAACAATTTATGTTTAACAAACAACAATTTGTTTAAATTGCTTTGTAGCTCGAAACGATCGACGAGAGAAAATGAGAAAACGATGACGCTCATTACGAAATAAAAGCAAACGATTGCGAAACTGAAAAGTAATATTTCGACAAGTTACAAAAAAAATTATTATGGTGTAATATTTATAAAATATATTTAAAATGTTTGTTATTTCAAATTATCGATACAAATTGCCCGCAACTTTTCGAATATGCTAAAGAAAATTCCGAATGGAAGGCTGTAATGCACGTAATGTAAGAAAATTGTCGTTTTTCGTTATAATTGTCGTTTAATTCTTACATTTCAATTTCTTGCGCCGTTCTAGTTTCCAGGTGCAAAAAGTGAATTTAATCGGTAAATCAAAAAAAGTTTTCTGCTAGAAACCTTGAACACATTATTTTAATTCTACGATAACCGCGCCAGATAGCTTGAGAATAATAAATAGATAGTGCCGCAGAGTATAAATATGTAAATATATAAATATGTAAATATGCGTGGACTAGTTTTTCGAAGATGAATAAATTTTCAAATTTATCGTCATTGTTGCTTTACCATAAAGTAGGTACGTCATGTTGAAGAGGAACGTCACTATGACGGACAATGCGCTGCTGCCGAGGATCGTCAGGATCAGATACGTCGCACATACCGCCGTCGATGAATGGAGTATATTACAATCTGCAAAATCATTATTATTGCCATGTGATCATCTATTATAAATATACGAGCGCCGGGGTATCATTTGCGTGTCATTCTCCGCGAATTAAGATACTGTTCAAGTGAATTACCGTAATTCCAGTAGCCAATTGAGAGACCGCACGCTATAAAAAATAAGTGCTGACGAATGGGGTCTTTGCCGTAGAGCGTATACCTATGAATAAGAGCAACGGGAAATCCTGAAATCAAATTACATATCAAGTTAAAATTTTTTATAATTTTTTCCTCGGTTATTATAGCTCCACATTAATTATCTCTATAATTTTCTGCGTCTTTTCTACATTTTCTCTGTTGTATATCGATCTTGAATGAAATAAATATTGATCTGTATACAAATTTTATATACGTGTATAAAATCTTTATATTGTGATTCTAAAAGTCTCTGAACCTGGCCAAAATCATTTATACAATACTTATATAACTTATATTATTTTTTAAATAAATTTCGTTTGAAATAATTCTTATAATAACCAAGTAACGCATAATACGTGTATCTTCTAACATTGCAATAAATTATCAGAACGAACGGTATCAGTTGACCCATTTATATATGGATGTCGATCACATATTCATTTATCATGAACACCTTTAAATATCTTCGTTAAATATTTTACGATATCAGCAAAGGGGGCAAGTTCTTTCTTCAGAAATTCAAACTTGACATTCAGGTAGCACATTAAAAATGATATCTCAATCGGGCTTTTTTGTAGGCCTATGAATGCAATAATTTATTTGAATCAAAATAAATAAACCATATTGGAAATAAATATCGTTTAAATATCAAATATCAATGCTCATTTGGTTAAAATTAATTGCTCCTCCACAAAATTTTAACCAAATAAAGTAAAAACGGACATATTATTTCATATCCGAAAAAAATCCCAGAAAAATAATTTAAAAAATACTTTTGACGTTATAGAAAAAGTAACATAGAAAATTATCTATTTTTAATATTCCTTTTAAATAGAGTAAAGTGAAAATAATCTCGAGATTTGTTGGTTCTCTAATCTTTCGATATAGCACAATAAAAAATCATTACAATTACCACAAATTGATAATTAAAATACGAAGCTTTGGTCTTGTTTTTTGAAAAAATTGAAACCACTGTGCGTTGTAATGTTATATTACTAATGTAAGCAAGAAATAATGTAACGATTGTTTTATAATTATTTTATTGTTTGCAGGTATATTTATTTATAACTATTACATATCATACGATTATTTATAATTATATTATTATATATCATACGTATGTATGTCATCCAATGATTCTTTTATCTTACAATTACTACAGATACTCATTCAAACTCGCTCGAATTCGCTTTATCTCGTTTTCTGATAAACTGTTATAATTAAAAATTCTAAGATTACAGTCAATATAGTAAAACTCCAAATTTTTAATCAGAATAAGTATCAAACGGGAAGCGAGAAACAAATTGCAGAGCTAAGTGTTTCCTCTTTACTTTCCTTTTTTCACTCCGTCGCTTCTCGTTTTATCAAATCTCATTATTTGATACAATACAAGCGCAACTTTGTGCTTATCATATGCCTGTCATATTCTTGGCATTCTTACGCAATCTGTCTGTTTAAACTCTGTTTCTCTCGTCTTACGTTCCGTTCCCTTGCGATTAAACTATCATTTTGTTACGGATAGGCATCGTATAATAGCCGCCCCTTTTGCAAATATGTATATTTTTTTCCATTTTCTTTATACTCTTTTTAATCATCCAACCAACTTAGAACCAAATCTTGTAATGTCTTGTATATACAAAGTAATAAAGTTATCATTGTATTCTTGCTAATCACACATCTTCGACGCTATTTTAACAATAGATCGTCTAACGCGTAGCGTATTTTTCTATTGACCGGACTAAAAATCTATCAAAAGAAGAATAGAATTCGACCTTATTAGGACGGAACAGATCACGCCTGTTTTTTAGATATAGCGATGTATCTCCTAGCGTAAGTGGTTATGTAACGTGACGCGGTCGTAAATAAACACACTTGTGCATATATACATATATATATGTATGCCCAGAGGTAGGTTCCGGGACTGTTTACGTTTTCTAAAATGTACAGTACTGGAATATACCCTCACATTTGTAAAACAGATTCAAAAACTGTCCTGGAAACTGGCCGTCGGACTTAAATTTTTTTCAGGACAGTCCTGGAAAATATCCTGGAATATATGCCGATATAAAATATAAAAGTCCCGGAACATACCCCGAGCCTGCATATATTTATATATATGCTGCACGCACGCGTTTTTTTTGCTCCCACATATACATTTCATATTATTTTACGCTGACTAAACACACGTAATATATTATTACTGCGTGTTATTGAGCAGAGGAAGGAGCGATTGTTGACGTACGCGCGGGACCGAAAAGAGTGCAAGGTACAAAAATTATGAAATATCTTAAAATATCTTCCCCGTGTGCGTAAAAAAGCTCTCGGAAGATGAAACGCGATTTTCAGCGTCGTTAAACAAAGAAACAGCAAAGGACAAAGAGCCTGGATCCGAATCTGCGCACATGCCTTTTTACGGGACACGGAAATGAGACAGTCCGACAAGAGAAAGGCTGCTGACAGTAAGTGTTTTTTAACGATTAGATAGGCAACCTTCGCGTAGGAGCAATTACGTCGTTATAGATTGCTATCAACCGTATCGCTATACACGCTATAACGACGTAACGCGAGGGGTGTCCCCGAGGGGGGCTCCGCGAGGACGGGGGTGGTGATACGGGGTGGGTGGTCGCAGTTCGCACACCGGCGATTCGAGCGGACGAGTCATGAATGAACACGCGCGGATCGATTCGATTCGCGAGACCGAGGAATCTCGAGAAACGGGAAAGAGGGATGAAGATTGAAGGGAGGGAAAATCGGGTCCGCTTCTCGGATCGCCCCTCGTCGATCGTCGACGTCGACGCGGCACGGCGCGGCGCGGGTGGAAACGCGGAAGAAAAAGAAGAAACGGGTTAGGTTTACCTAGCAGAATGGAGACGAGGAGACGCAGCGCGGGTTCCGGAGCGCCGAGCAACGCCGACAGTCTCGCCAGCCCGCCCGGGCTGTGCGTCACCGCGCTGTCCATGATCGGCGACGACGAGGACATTGTGTGTGGACGACGGAGCGGCGGACGACAGCGACGACGATGCGTGGCGTACACGCGCAGCGGCGTCGAGTGTATTGTATTGTATATACGCGGCGCGACACGCTACACTGCTACAGCATGGCCGCGTCCGTTTATGCGCGCGCGCGCCCCCGTGCCTGCGTGTATGTTGCACCTTTTATCAGCAGCGAGACGTGCCGCCAGACTCGGCACTCTCGGCAGCTGCCACCGTCAGCAACGCGTAAACCGTCACTATCGAGCTCTCGCGGCTCTCGCGCGGAACGGAACGGCCGCGATTAAACCTTCGCCACCGTCGTCGCCACCAGCCACCGTCGCCAGTACTGACCATCGCCACATTCGCCACCCGACACCCGACCACCGCTACTACCACTGCCAAGTTTAGTGCCAAGTGCTGGCACCGTCGTCGTCGCAGCAACGGCAGTGGGGTCGGGGAGTCGGGGTGACAACGGCGACAACGTTGACGACGCGACGCGACGCGACGCGACGCGACGCCGTTACCCGGACGACGCGGCCGGCGGCCGTCCGAGAGAGACGCGTCTCGCCTCTCGCCGCGTCGCGTCGCGTCGTTTGCGACGACGATGATGAATCAGATGCTCGGATTAGATTGGAAAATTAGAACGAGAAAACTAGGGCCATCACTGGTTGCTCGTCGGAAGCGCTTGCGCTTTTCTTCAACGGCGAAACGTTCCTCCGGATGAAAATCCCATTCGGACCTTTTGCGTTGTGATGTATATTGTACGTTATTCGTGGGACGCGTAGAGGGAAAGTAGAAATACTTTTGCGGAATGAGAACCAGCTATCGATTAGTCCATGCGAGGTCAATCGGTCCCAGGAGTTATGACTGAAAAATTGTATATTCTGGAAAAAAGGTAGAAGAAAAAGTGCGCGTACTTGAGTTGAAAAAAAAAATACAGCCGGATAAGTTAAAAGCGTAGGAATATTTCGCTAATAATAAAGATAGATTATAGAGATAAATTTGAAACGGTAATTTATAGCCCTGTCCTCTTACATCGTTTTCAAATTTGAAGCATTGAAAATTATATAATTTTAAAGATAAAGAAGACTAAGCACAAAGTATTAACATGACAAATACATTACAATATATTATTGTTTAAATCTATTTTTCCTAAAAAGAAGGTAACGACGTTACAATCTAAGATTTTCAGGTTCGCTTCGTCGTTCGCAGCACCGCGTCTCCCTCGATTAGGGATCTGCTATTGAACTTATAATTTTCTCACCTTTTCTCCCTGTTTCTCTAAATGCACGCCTATTTTCTATTTTTTTTTTTTTTTTTTTTATGAAAGCAGAAAATGCAACGTAATAGAGCTATAAAAAAAAACAGGCCTTAGATCTCGATCGGTCGGGAGGTCGGGGTCTAAGCAGTTTCGAAATGCGGTATACGATCTCGACTGTCGTCGCAAGATTAAATAGGTCGAACGGGGGCCAATCGAGGCTGACAGCGGGCCAATTGGGCCGGCCGCGGCCGCGGCCGCGGCGTTCTCGAGGCAGGGCTGCGCGGATATCGGTCGGTCGGTCGGGGGTTCGCGAGCGACGATCTCTTCTCATCTCGGCGGAAGATCGATCGATCGAGCGCGGGCGACCGGGGAGGGTATCTACGATTAACACGCGCGCGGTCGTCGCCATCAAGGCCGTGTGTGGATTTTGTTCCCCGCCAATTCCGTTCCCTTAGCGCTCGCGCGTACGTCAGTCAGTCTCGCGATTCGCGACCGCGTAATCATTGTGATGAGGAAAAAATATATACGACGATGCGACACTCGCGAAGCCGCGACTCTGCCCGCAGATTCCGCGGGTATTTGATCGCGGCGCGATTTAGAAACCGCGAAACGGATGGACGCGACGTCGCGTCGAAGTCGATATAGCCGAGCGGGAGATTGCGCTTTCCCTGGAAACGCAGGCACGGCGAAATGGTCATGGAGTATGCATCTCTCTGATCACTTTCGCTCCCCTCTTGCTTTCGTTGTCGAGTGAAATCCTATGATAAATCGTCCCGATAGAAGAGGCGAGCGAGCGAGCGATTGTCCCTGAATTGACGTGCGGGCATTGAAAACGCGGCATTGTTGCGGGCAGCGATTGAAAACGCTATGAAAAGAAATATCAATTTCTACGTGTATGAAAACGAGTTCCCAATTTTATACAATAATCGAAGTAAATAAAAACTGATCGGAAATAGAGCTTGGTACAACGTATGTATATTATTGGACATCGACGTTCTCAAAATAATCACGAGGGAAAAATAACATGAAATACAAACGAGAAGGAAATTACGTGTATGAATTAATGTCCATAACAACACAATCGTAATTTAATTACAATTGTGATTAATTGTAATTGTCTAGATGTGTACATTAACAATATTGACTTTTACCTCGACCCTGGTCACCTTTATTCATTATAATCACAAATTTATAATGAACAAAAAATTAATTTATTCATTGTAGTTACAACGTTTCGACAATTGGTTTTGGTCTTTCTCAATCGATTTAACTTTTGATGCTAATAAGCATCCTTTTTAAATTACTGTAAAGAATATGTGTATTAATTTATGTAAAATGAATATCAAGGAGATGAATATTACGAGAATCGTATTGCTTACATTGACATTCAATAACGCAGTAGCGATACAGTAAATTACCGAAAAACCGCATTTATTGCCGATATTACTGAAATTTTCGGTTAAATACCGGTATAATTGGGAGCTTTTAGAGCATTGCGGTTTTACATACACACTGAAAAAAATTTATTAAAATCAAGAAAATATATTTTTTTGTTTAAATAAGTATTAGGTAGATTGGATAAAATATTTTAAACTCAGAAAAATGTTTTCTTAAATCTACCCAATACTTCTTTGAATTAAGGAAACTAGATTCAAAGAAATCCTATTTTCTTGATTTTAATAGATTTATCTTTTAGCGTAAATTAAAAACGTGCACGCGATATAATACATGCGCATACAATAGCCATATAAAATTGTCACGGCGTTCAGCCTTTATCTGCGAGGGCAGGTGTACGGAAAGGAGGAATAATAAACAGAACGCTTTGCGTTAATCTCAAGTCGTCTTTTATTTCGCGAAATAAACCTAAATAGATAACATTATACGTATATAGCGTAGCATCGCGGGTACGCGCGCCTTATGCACACCCGTATATATATTTTGTAAACGCATCATGTGTGCCACGTGTCTATCACAGAATAAATGTGGTCGGAAGACCCGCGATACGGTGGCGAATAACGGCACGATTGCTTTTCGCTCGCTATCAACATCCCTTACGCAATCGCCTCGCGTCACGGCTGTACGCACACGCATATACACACGCGCACTCGGTGTGCCCGCTCCTTACGCGTCACGCACTCGGAACCTCCTCCCGAGGAGGAGAGGAGGTCCTCCTCCTTCCGTGGCTCCCGTCTGCGTGAAATTACGTCGCGGCACATTTTCCCATGCTTCCCCGTAACGTCCTCTCCGTTGCGTGACCCACCGCGATTCTACTTCACTTTCTCGCATCGCGAGAAAGTACTCGCGGAGGAGACGTCGCTTCTTTCTCCTAATCTTCAACTTCAACTAATTCGAAACGCTTTGTAAATAAATTACGTTTGTCCGGAGAAACGGAATGCTTTAAAACCAAAGCAAACATCGTTGGAGGGATATTTAAGTTGGTATGAAATCACATAGAATTAATATTGCACGAATAATAAACTACGTTTTTTTATACCAGGGTAAGGAGAAAGTGTCTTCGTTTTGCAACCCTCAAATATGTCGAAAGCGCAAAATTTATGAAAGAATTTTTTGACATGTAGATACTAATCGATTTATCTTGTTGATTTTATGTATAAATAAGATATAAATCGAAATATAGAAAAATCGATATTTTATGAGATATCTCTCACACTTTTCTATCAAAATAATATATTTAAAATATTCCCGTCTCTTTTATAAATTTTCGAACTTTTTTTTTATAGCTTTATGTTAATACTTTTATATTCAGGAAAAAATAAATTACGTAAGAAAATATTGTGGCTCCATTAATAACATCTGTGACATAATAATATATAGATACCTCATGAAAAATGCATGCGATAAAATTTGCATGCGCGCATCACGTTTATTCTCTGTTTGAGATGCAACATTTTTATTCGAGATATTTGCTTTTTAAACGCTTCGTTATTTAAAATATCTGTGGCCTCTTTTCCGTTCTCCTCACTATACCATTCAACGATCTCCAACGTGTGTAAAGTTTACTTAACGTCAATATAGAACAATCATAAATAATACGTTCACGTTTATATATTTACGAACATTAAGATTGGATTAGTCTAATAAATTTTTCTTTTCTCTTTCGTCGAAATTGGCACTTATAAATGTTTTCTCGGACGCAACAGATTGATACTAGCTTTACTAATACACGGCGTCTTGCAACGCGAAATTGTCAAATTTAATGTCTTCAAGCGTAAAAAGATCAGTCTGTCGTTCGCATCGAGTCAAATTCTTTTGATCTTTGCCTTCTTAATTGCCAAACACTAAACATATATAGTTTAAAAATTCCCTCTCTACGCGGTCAAGCTTTATAGAGACAAATCATAAAGGAAGCGTCGTTAAAAATAATATCACAGGACGGTCCGAGTTATTAGTCGCTTACACGTGTCCTATTTGTTTGTAGAGAGTCGTTTTACAATTAAATCATACGTTTGCTGGGCGCGTCACGTTACGAGAGCGAAAGGAAAAGAGTTGGGAAGTCTTTATTCTGCATGTTTCAATTATACGAGTTACTCATGTCCACGCGTGATAAACTTTACTACTTATGTCTGGTCGTATATATGCGCGCTCCGTGTCTTGGTATCTTAAAATCAATAACGATAATCTTGACATTACTACAGTACTGTCACAACCACGTAATGTTTATCCAGTCAGGTCGTGCGTTACGAGCGAACGAGCGATCGAAAAGAGATCGGCGGGGCGAATAATATGTGGACGCTCTTAGGGCCGGTTGTTCCAACCTTTTGATAAACTAACTAATAGTTAAATCATATATATGTCTTTGTTTATCCTTTACATTAAACAAAGATAGACATATGATTTAACTATTAGTTAGATTACCAACAGGTTGGAAAAACCGGCCCTAAAGGGCGCAAAACGCGAGTCTTGTCCTTCCCTCTCTCGTACGTGCATATAGATTTACATTTATTTTGCCGGTTAAATTATACATTATATCTATATAAGGAATACCGCCAATGTGCGACGCGCACGTGTATAATGATAACGCTGCGAACGTAAACGTCACTAAACGTGTACAAGTCTTGTCGCTCGAACGAGGCGTCTGTTTCACTGCGACACGAAACAGCGGATGTGTATGTGCGTGATAACATGCGATACACGGTCACAAAATCTCTCTCGCTTTGCCTCATCACGTGTATATTCACCGATAATATATATTCCATTTTCCCTAGGCCGTTCCTATAATATATGTACCAACTTAGGGTCTTTATATAGTTTTTTATCTCAAATATGCTTTTTATATATCTTTCTTTATATTCAAATGTGCATAAACAGGTAAACATATTTGATTCTTTTGCCTTATGTACTATAGTACGCGAGCTACGCGCGAATAAATACTTTCCTCTTGTATGTGGTCTTTTTCGCATCAGTGTTTGTTTTCTGTAAGTGTAAAGCGTCATTTGGGGGGTAAAAAGAGAAATTCACTTTTGCCCCCCGATTTGATTGTGTCATTTCCACTGCGGCTCTATATTATATTTTGATACATTACAGACACTTTGGCTCCCCTTTTCTTTTTTGTCTTTTGAACTATGAACATACAATGTAACTCCTCATAGCCAAATCTTCCGATCAACTAAACTTTGCAGCGGTAAATCCAAGCGATGATTGTACCGGTATGTCAAGTGTTGTCGTTATTCGTCCTATTTTATGCTATTATATCTTTTATTTTCATATCGCAAACAAAATACTTGAGTTTAATCGTATCAAAAAACTTATGCAAAAAATACTTTTAAAAACGATTTTACGAGTCGTAAAAAATTAAAAAACTATCAGTGCTGGTTCTCTCTTTCTTCCGATTCTCTCTTTCTTCAAAAAAGAAAACGCAGAGCATGTCAAGAATCTAGGTAAGGTAGAACAAGTTGCGAATAAAAAGCTTTTAAGCCGCTAATTATCGCATTATCTTTTATGAACATTATAGATCCATTTGTATGTTTCTTACTTTCAACATTCAATATTAGTCCCGTATCACGAAAAAATACAAACGTAGTGTGCATATATGTGTGGTGTATATATAGATATACAACGTACATATACATAATATCTTCTCGTTTATAAACTATTTGTCTGTTCAACATCTTTTTAAAAATATAATGATATTTTAGCTCACGTATTCTTTACGTTAGTTGCCTAGTCATCATTTTCTAATCGCAATAACTATTCTTTAAAATTAAAATATATTCCTTAAAATTCGCGCATTTTTTATAACCACAGAGATTTTGTTTTCACGTTAGAGCCGTACCTCTGGAACTTTATCAGGACTAAATACACAAGAGTCCTTTCTATATATATTATATATTACGTACAATAATAGTATCGGAAGTTCAATAATTATCTCGATTGGTACATTAAGATTCTGAGACTCTAATAATATGCGTCGCGGAGAATTGATTAATCGTCTTCAGTCGTAAATCCCAAACTCGTTACACACTTGAAAGATTACGATTTTACTCTGTGACTCGGTAAATTTGTGTGCGACAAATATTTATATAGGTCTGTACACTTTACTAAATGACGGAAAGAACGATTATATATCTATTGCCAATTTTTTACGGATTTCTCGCTCGTAAGCCGAATCCTATATTGCATTGATTTTATATTGCGATAATCATGCGTTCGAGATATATGATTTTCCAATCATATCATCCCGATATCGTGGAATAAAATCGTGGAGGGAACAGTATTTTGTCCAATATAATTAAATGTTCCCCATCGTTAACGTAAACAATAACATTCCGTTTTTTTTTCCCCCTATAAATTTACGTCCCACATATTTAATATTAAAGTCTACTGTAGAGCATAAAATGTTTCCACAATATGAGATCTATCGATTAGGACATCACAATAGCACAATCGCTATTTCTCTTTAAACCTGATTTACAACTAGTTTGATTTACAACCAGTTTGATTTGCGCAGTTTTATTTTCCGTTTAACGACACGGTATTATAATCTCGGGTACCTTCTCATTGGAATAATATATTTAGTCATAGATAAAATCCTGCCGTATCTGATCTTGTAGAAACTTTCAACTCTTTTCCCGCAAGTTTGTTGTAAAATTTCACGTTTTGAGATTTTCGAAGCAATTATATATTGGATGCGTCAAAATGTTATACGTTATTTCTCCCACAAAATTAATCACCCGGCTATACTTTCACCAATTTAGCAGACCTACGATTAAGCTAGAGATTTACCGTGCTTAACCGTTAAGCTCAGATCTCGGGCTCTCCGTGTTGTTGTAGTTTTCGGTGGACACCATGATCACCTCGCTATACGGCGTCGTCCCATTTTCGGGGGTGCAATACGACGCTATGCCGTGAAAGCAGGTACCGACTGAATTATTGTTGAATATAATCAGCAGGAGACCCGAGATGGCGACCAGAATACCAGCGACCATCAGGCCGAGCGCCGGCAGCTTCTTGGACGAGAGGACGGGCCCCTCCTCGAGCTTGAGGTAGCAGAGACCGGGCAGAATGTAGGCGAGCGGCACCGCGGCGAGGATGCCGTTCAACTCGAGAACGACGCCGAGGCAGTCCGTCCACGTGGAGATCAGATATGCTATGAATAATATCGCCAAGGTGATTATCAGGTACTTACGGTCCGAATCAGGCACATAAGCCTCGTCTCCCTCCAATTTTTCCGTCCCCTTGATCGCCGTCATGAGCACCTGAAGCGGTAATAAATCGCGATCGTAAAACTCTTGCAAATTCTCCGATCTGCGTTAGACGACCAGGATGAGAGACATTACCTCGCGCGTAACGAAGCACTCGATCGGAAAGGTGAGGAGTATGGTGCCGCTGAACATGATCCTGGCGAAATTCATCAGATCGTCGTCCAAGCAGTAATTCTCCATCAGATCGCCCTGAACATACGACGTGAAGGTCGCGTAACCGGCAATCCCGAAGGCCGCGGCGATCAGGAAAGAGGTGAAGAGAGACCAGTGCGTCACCACGTCCCACTTCTGCTGGGTCGCTCTCTCAATCGAGCCGTAAATCAGGAAGGTGTTGTGATGGCACATGAAGGCGAACGCCATTATACCGATGGACTGGACGATCCCTGAGAAATTGGCGAACCTCCAGCTGTCCTTCTGACTCGGGCTGCAATCAATCACGCCTATAATTACAATCATATAGCGAATTTACAGGAGATAAGTGACCCTCCCCTCTTCCCCATGAACCACAGGCGAAATTCTCGCTTACACCGTGTCGGACATAGTGTCCATCCGGATGAAGATGGCGAGGAGAATGAACCCGATGCAGACCAGAGAGAGGAAGGAGATTCTCGCTAACCGCGCGATGTTCCTGTACAGACAAAGCGGGACGATGATGCAGAGGGTCGTCAAGAGGGTGACGATGTTTCGATGAGCGAAAATGTTCCATTGGTCCGTCCCCGTCATTCTTACCAGGACCGTGGTGACCGTGTCGCCGACGACGACGTTGTAAGAGATCATCGCTGCAACGTCAATAAAAGCGTTTCATGCGTTGATTAAATACATGGTCGAAATATGACGGTCTACATGGATAAAGACAGATAAATATCATTATTTATTTATTATTTACTATAAACGTTCTTTGGGATAGCATCCCTTCAAGCACTAGCGTACCTATGAACGGATAAATGAACTGCAACACCGTGAGAATGTAGAAGCCGACGCGGCCGAAACTCGCTCGCATCAGGCCCTGATAACTCATCTCGCCACAAATGTGTCCGCTTCGCACCATAAGAATTAACGAGTAATCGGTCAGTGCCGCTACTAAGATTAACAGGGCGATGCCGAGACCGAAGCCGGCTTGATGCAGAGCATACGGTATTCCTGTAAAAATTCACATTAATCTAGCCGACTTTAGGATAGGGCTTCGCAGAATGTCAAGCGGATTTCTTTTTCCCTTCTACAATTATTTTGACGATATATAATTTTCAACGATATTATATAATCTCGAAATTAGATCTAAAGCTATAGATCATTTTTCTCACCGATGACGCCGCTGCCGATGATGGAATTGATGAAATTGAAACTCGCAAGCGGCAGGCTGCTGAATTTGTCGGACTCTCCTTCCTGCTCCTACAATACGCGCCGACATTAGCACGAGTGCTTTTCGCAGTGATAAACGCGGCAAGAGATCGTATTCAGTGTATTCAGAGTATCGCGATATGTTAACGTTAATTAACGTTAAACGTTAATTAGATGTCACATTGCGTATTCGAGCTCGTACCCGCGAATATTCTACGAGCGTCCGCATATATTTTCATACTGATGAATATTAATGGCACGAGCGAGGGAAAAAGCCGTTAATTCCGAGGCGCCGGTTAAAAGTAAATAAAAATACGCGGGTATAAATTACAGCGTAGGCAAATTAGCTAAGACAGGCAGGAGCTAAACGGTTACGCGCGATCGTAGTTCAGCGGAATAATTTGGAGCGATACCGAGCTGAGAGCGTAGCGCGGAGAGGGAGCGGCGCGATAAAAGTTAAAAGAGCGCTGCGAGAAAATGATAACGCACGTGCGCCAGGTCGTAGGCCAACGGCCCGTGACTAATTGACGAATTGAACGTCGCGTCGCGTCGGAGGAGTGCATCGTCCCGTCGCGCGTCGGAACAACATTACGCGGGACTAATCGATAGGCCAATATCAGCGAAGCTACTTGGGAAGTTTCTGTCGCGCGCCAATTAATCCATGCTTGTTGTACGCAGCCGGGTATCTCGCCTTGCAAATTAGAACGGGCATATAATGAAGCTGCGTCCGTGGCAATTAATCGCTCGTCGCTCCAATAATAATTAGAGGGAGATGGGAATGAGTGAAGGAAGATGGCGAAATAGTCAATTTCTATAATTAATTTACAGAAAAAAAGAAGAGTTAAATCAAGAGTTATATACTGGAATATACGTTTATACGAGTATAAACTGCAATCTATAATCTTGGAACTGAGATTATATTGCGTTAAACGAAGAAAATTTACTTGAATGAAGTCATTTACATAGTTCAATCAAGAAAAAAAGTTAAAATTCTTATAAGAAAATTATAGATTGTTGTGTATATACGAGTATATAAGTTTTAATTTGACACTTCTTTTTTTCCTGTGTAGATGCGCAACCCTTACCCCGACTAGGTGTCTCGTGTCATCGTAGGACTCTTCCGATGCGACACTGCCGACCTGTCGAAATTTCCGAAACAATGCGTCATAGTCATATACAAGACAGTTGTGTGCGAGAACGTATCCGTATTCCTCTTTCGTGTATCGAGAGAAAACCCGACGGGGTAACGAGGATTTTCATCCCTCTCGTCGCTCGCACACAGAGAGAAAGAATATTCTTGATTTAAAAATATGTTTAGTTTTAACGTAGAAATCATAAAATAAGATTATATAGCGTTAAACAAAGAAAACTTGCTTCAATGAAGTTATTTTATATATAGTTCAACTAACAAGTAAACCCTTACCTTTTACCCCCTCGCGATTGAAATGAAACTTTGGGAAATGATTTAGGCATGCCTCAGGATCATTTAAAGCTAGTCAGATTTGCTGCAAAATTCTCAGAAGCACTAGAATTCAGAATCATTGTTAGTGGCTTGGCGGGGTCTACCGCCCAAACTGATAATTGCATTTGCATGTACCTGAAGAATTGCGTGTAAAATTCACGCGAATAATATTATTAGGCAACCAAGTTCTGACCGTTTAACGGCGTTTTCTTTAATTTGATTTTATAAATAAATTATTATAATTTACAGATAATGATTAAGTAGAATAGAGTAGCATGGTGGCCGCATGTGCCCCTACCAAGATGGCATCACATTAATTAACCGCGCGCACAGACAAAAACGCGCTTTCTCGCGAGCGCTCGGCCGCGCCGACTTAAATATATAAACAAATTTGACAACAATATTCATTGTCCTGATCGACGCTCTCACTGACGATCTTATCGGACGACAAGAGCTAGGCGGGTTTAATATTTGTGGAGTCTCACCATCGCGACTCACGGAGAGTCACATGGTATTTTTGGGGACACATCCTCTATACAAGTACATCCATCCAACCATATATTTCTCTCCATCACCGTCATCCCACAATCTACCAGGCGATCACCAAAGTAACGAAACTGCGTTCAGCTGCTGCTATAGTCGCTGCAAACAGGGGTAATTTTGTGGAAACATTCAGAAACAACATTACCCATAGAAGTACATGCAATGCATCAGTTTGTACGCTAGACCCCACCAAGCCATCAACAATTATCCATCTGAATTTTGGTGTTTCTGACAATTTTGCAGCAAATCTGACTAGCTTTAAATGATGCTGAGGCATGCCTATAAATAATTTCCCAAGGTCCTCATTTTAATCACGAGGGTAGAAGGTAAAGAGGGTTTACTTGTGAGAATTAAACCGAAAATATAACGAAATTTTGCTAAAATGTATTTCAGAATCTCTCTCAATTGACCCCATTTCATTATTATTCCATCCATATTTCAGTAAAAATTCAGTTTTTAGTTAAATTCAGTTAATTTCGTTATACCTAATATTTCAAAGAATTTGTTACTACTTTTCAACAGTTTAATTTAACTTTTCTTATATTTTACAATATTACATTACATTCATTTTAAAATATATTCAAATTTTTTAATAATTTTATTTCACTTTTCATAGTATTTTCAGCAAAATCTTTCCGTCAGGAAAAAGATTATCAAATTCTTATAAAAAGATTATATAGATTGTTGCGTATATACGAAACAATGAGCGCGTTAATTTGAGTTCACAAGTACAAAATCTACAAGTTTAATTCGACACTCCATATTTTTTCTATGCACTTTCCGTCGTTCGCGGGTGCTCGCGCATCCATACGAGTACCTTTATTGGCAGTGTACGTCTCAGACGGATATGACAGCTCTTCGCGAAAGGCAGAACCGCGCGGGAGAAATCACGGAGGCATTGATTGAAACGAGCGTATCGGGCGAAATGTCATCGCGGAAATTTCTCATCGCGGATGGAATTGTTAAGAGACCGCGTCTCTCTCTCCCCCTCCCTCTTTTCAAGACGACGGAAACTTCAATCTCGAAGATATTGGAACCCGCGCTCGCGCGAGGAGAAGAGCCGTAATTACGCGTTTCTGTTCGGCTCGCGCGATTACACGCCGCGGGGAGAATCGAGCGAGAATCGCAGCGAGAGCAATCAAGATCACGGACTTTCTTGCGCTTAACACCGCGGGTTAAGAGCGAATAGAATTAACGAGGTAGCGAAAGTGGCGTATATAGTAACTTTCTCGTACACTTTTTACAATCGCTAAGAGGATTCTCGCGATTCTCCAGCACGGTCATTCGCGAAATTACTTTTAGTAAATCACGCGACGGGGTTGCTCGATAGCCGTGCGGTGGCTATTCACTTGATAGATCCCGAGAGATTTGCTTATATCTCGAGCAAAACTTCCCCTCGTATGTGGAAAAAACTATTACGTAATACAAATTACATAAAGAGCGTATTCTTTTTTCACATTCTATTATAAAGCTGTAACATATTGTAGCATATGTTGCTATAAAAATTGACGAGTAATTATTTTTACTTGAATCAGCCGAAATTATAATGCTTCTGAAAAGTTTATGCGCGTATTTTAAATTCTACCAACGTATAAAAACTTAATTATAATAAAGGCTTACTATGCAATCAATCTTTTTTCATGTCTGAAAAATGACTATATCGATATTGTAGTTTACTACAAAATGTTCAATTTGCATAAAAGCAACCAAACTCGGGTTGTAAGACTTCTTTGTCACTTTAGGGGAACTTGAATGTTTTAAATTGTACATCAAATAAAGTATTCGAATAATCACAGTAATTTTTTTGTAAAACGTAACATCTTTGAATAAAAATACCGTAATTTCCGTCATAATGTCAGTATAATATCCTAGAAAAATAAAAACCTTATTGCAATTTTTTCACTACGTTTCCTTCGCGTAGCAAATCTCGGTAAGACGGAAGAAAAAACACACATGAGAGATAGATACGAGACGTTCTCTCCTCGTTGTAGTGCCGTTTAATGATCTGATACGTCGCGCGTCGCTTCGCCGGCGATGATTTCGCTTCCGCGAACGAGAGAAAAACGGAACCGGATGTGCGCGCTCGACACGGTAGACCATATCCTCCGCCGTCGAGCAGAGCGAGATGGAGACGGTTTACTCACGTCCTCGAGGTTCTTTTTCGCGTCCAGGATGTAGCTCTTCTCGTTGACATCGTTGGACGCGGCGTGGGCCATCCCGATCTCTCGCGATTAGGATCTCCTCTCGCTTGGTGAAGACGGCCTAACTCTAACGGGAGAAAATGATAGCGCGAGAAAAACGTGCAAAAACTTAATTAAAGGGAGGGAACGAGACTCGCGGGCAGGTCCGTAGACGTCTGAAGTTCCGGCCTGTCTTCTGCCCCTTCTTCAGCTTCTCCGCTTCTCGTCTTTCCCCTCTGGCCATGCCGTTCTCCCTCTCTTACACACTCAATCCGCTCTCCCCTTAGTCTCTCCCTCCGCTCACGCACGCGCGTACATGTATTTTAGCTTATTTCTCTCTTCCTCTTTACCGAGAGCCTCGATCGCACCCCATCGTCCTCCCCATTTTTCATCCTTCTCCCTTGTTCTCGGTTAATCGGGAATCACTATAGTTCCGCACTCGTCCTCGTCTACCCAATGTCCGCCCACATATGCGCACCCCTCGTGCCCTCCCTCCCGCCCCTCTTCTCATTCATCTATCTCGTCTCGCCCTCGCAACTCGCAACCTCCCTCTGCTTTCTCCCCCCGGTTAACCGGTCGTGTCCTATTTTCTTTCTATCTCTCGTGCTTTCCCTCAGTCAAGATATCGAACGAGACTGGAGCCAAGTTTATTGATTCCGTGGCGTTTAATCTTCCCCATCCAGTTCCACCAGAACTTCATTCTGCATGACGGACACGTTCCACGTCCTGCGTTTTTTGCGTGAAATACATGAGCCCCGCGCGCGCGGATCTGCGCCAGATCGTTACGATACGCACGGATATAGCAATGTACAGCAATAGATTCAACAATAGATTAATCCGCTGATTGCAAAAAAAGCGGATTCGATGCACGACAGACTAGATTTTCCATAGTTTCCCGTATAACAAGTTCGCCGCTATTAAGCCATTAGTCTTTCATCGATCTTGTAAATGACCTATCAGTAGCATATGTTCATACGAGACGTTCTTCTAACTTTACTAGCGCTAGCGTCTCCGTGCCGGGAATACATAATAAAAGATCTTGAACACGTTAGTAAATCTCACGGCAGCTTTCAGAGATATATTTACAATTATATATTACATTTTCACATATTTAAACAACGATTTCATTAGCGATTCTCAAGAGAGAACCTATCGAGAATTTTCGCAGAGCGTATAATTGTTTGATTGTTTGTTATCGCTGTCAAGGTAATTCACGAGGATAATTTCAGGCTCTCGTTACATTATACTTAACATAGGAACAGAAATGAGAACGTTAGCTGCGAGCTGCAGTCGCCGCCAATCGTTAACACGCGCGAAACTTCATCATTTCCAATATCATTTTCTACGAAAAGACAATCCGTTGTAACCGCTATCGACATATGCGCATTTTCCCGTACTTATTTTAATTCTAACAAGCGCTTCATGCGCTTAACATCGTTTAAAATCTTTTTAATACACGCCTCACGCGTATTTATTCCAAATATTATATTTGCCTTGCATTTAATTCGTCAAATTCAAATGGAAACACTAGTACGCTCCTGTATATATCATGATTAGTGCACTGACTTGAGTAATGTTACTTCGTTAGATCTGTCATTGCAGAGAAGTCAAGCTCGCAAGCGATACGTAAAATAGTTATTTACATAGACAACCACATATTAGCAAAGCGAGAAATTAAAAAAAATTTTTAATCTCTTGCATAATTAACTAAAAGTAGCAACAGAATGTGGATTGTGTTTTTGACACATGATTAATTCAATCAGACACGGTCGAATATACAGTATATCATACAGTAATGAAAGGATGCAGACCTATATCCATTTCGAGATTGATACTTGAAAATATCTTCACTACTGTGCGATATGCCATGCATGAGCACGCAAATTTCAGACAACTTCGGATTTTCATTTCAAAATGATCTCAGGAATCTGCTATTAATGGACATCATGATAAGTCTGAGACATTCCTATACTCCAAATACTGTATGTATACTGTATACTGCGAATATCACATAGAAATAAGCGCATAAAATACTTTCCATCGATAGACAATAGTTTAAATACTAAAAGCTGCATATTACATCACACAATATACATACATATTATATGTCAAAGTGTAAACGAATGACTCGATGAATCGAAAGGACTAGATTGCAATTCATTATTAACAATGCCTTCGAGGCTTTGCAATCAAAAAAATCTTCCATATTCTATATTCTCTAACATTTTTAATGATATTGCCGCACTTGCGTTTGAAAGTGTGAGTGTGTGTGTTTGTTTTACTCTCTTGTATTGATTGTATATCTTGTATTAATTGAACTCGTGCCGCAAACGAGAATGCGTAGAAGACAAAAGATGTGACTGTGGGGGAAAAAAAAACTAACGGAAGGCGTATCTGCAAGCGCGTACTTGAAATTGCGCTTTTCATGTCGAAAAATCGGAAGTCAATTGTACGGTTACCGCGCGTGGATAGATAGCGAGTTTTGATAAGATCGGAAATGATCTTCCGCAATGGGCGACCACTCTGATTCACATACTCTAGTAAGCGACGCGGTGTTGATTTACATTCGTACGAAATTGGATTGGAATCTCAAGGTAATTCCATCCGCGTTGCGCATCACCGACTAGTCGTCGGGACCGTGCAACGTAGCGTAAGTACACTTATCGTCGAGACCTTTGAAATACGTCAAGTCGCAGCATCTCAAGAGAGCCTCGATGGGTCTTGACGGTGAGGTACCACCACCCAGCCGTTGTTTCCCGAAACGGCGGGCCCTATCGTCGACGCGGCAGCGGCACTCGTCAACGCCCCCCTCTGATCCTTCATGATCTGCAATTGCCGCGTCAGATTGCGACACAGTTTCAGCAGGGACTCCTGAAAGTCATCGCGTCAATTGCAATAATTATCGATGTTTGAAGCCTTTTTAAAGCTCAAGGATATTTTAAAAGTTACATTATCATCAACAAGAAATCATCCATCGGCTCCAACGCTGCAAGCGAGTGCGAAATTTATGCAAAGAGTAATAAAAAGGAGAAACCTTTTCGTCTTCCAGCTTCCGTAGCTCCTGCTGCTGCCGGAGACTGTCGACGCTCAGATTCTTCAGCATCTCGTTCTTGTGCTGGCTTAACAACGCTATCTCCGTTTGGACCTTAAGGTATTCCTCAGCTATCTGCTTGTGCTCCTCGAAGATCTCTCGCGAGAGTTTGCACGTGTCGTCGGGCGTGAGAGGCCTCAGGTCGGCATCCAGTAGGCGGCAAACGTTGCCCAAGTCTTCGCTCGTGGTGCTGCTACCTATGACATCCCAAGATTTTATTACGGATGTTGATAATCACGAGACTATCATCGTATTCGGCTGCAACGAAATACGTATTATTAAGAGTACAGTCCTAAATATACAAGCGTAAGCCTAAGTAATCCTGTCTCCAGAATATTACAAGATTGCATGTTTGCACTGGCAAATGACTCGCTCGTGAAGGTTTTAGACCCAGCATCGAATCGCTTTAACAAATCTGCGCGCGCTTCCAGTCTTACTAGTCATCCGCAAACGTAATTCCTCTTAAATTTTAAATATGCTTCGAGCACCGGTTTCGCGTAGAGAATCTGATGAGCATGTACTAACGCAGTAGGACCCAGCAGCGCTTGAGAGTGTCGGTGCCGACGATCTCCGGGTAGTCGTCGCACATGTCGATCATCTAGTAGCCGCCGCTCTCGCGCGAGCCGCAGTTACTTCGACGATGACGATTAACGTCCACGATTATCCTCCGACAACGTGGCTGATCCCGTCGGCATAATTCCTTTGTTCGGTTCTTCGCTATCAGATTCGGGTCCCCGTCCTAGGGAGTAAAGTGGCAGCCACGCAGACAGCGTGATAGAGAATTGCAGCGCGGCGATAGCGATATATTCAGGAATCTCACTGGGACGGCTGGAGCCTCGGTAATCTCACGACGGTATCGCTAACTCGATTGTTCAGTGGAATGATCCGGGAATGTGCGGCCGTGTTAAAAAGATATATATCAATCAATTCCCGGTCGGATCGGTCGATGTGCCCTCGATAAAATCGAGCTCGTATTGCGCGCTTGGCGACCTGCGATCGGCGGGAGGTGCTCCTCCGTAGGGAGTCGGCTCTCTACTAAACAAACGTACGTCTATATTGGGGATGCTGACTCAGCCACACCTGCTTCTAAATACCCCCCACCCTGAGACTTCGTCGAGGAACGTCGCGGAGCGTATATGCGAGCCAAGAACAAAACCGCGCTCTCCGCAGCTTGATTCATCCTCGAGAGAATTTCATGCTTGATATTTTTTTTTATTCATCTTGCGGTCATCTTCGTCATCTTTCTCTATTCTTTTGCGCGTATTGCCTTATCTTCTTTCTCTTTTTCCTC